TTGGTTTTCCTTAAAGAAGACCGTTGGCGGTCCACAAGAAGCATTTGCAGAATGAGTACCCTACTAGGGAATTCGTTTTTGCTGCTAATTCTTCATACTGAAAGTTCATGCTATATTTCCACCATTCAAGAGCTTTTCCAATCCCAGAGTTTCTTTTATACCTTGATTTTTAGCATCTGGTAGATATCACTTATACTTTCAGCCTACCTGTAATTAGTAATGATCTGTTTGCCTATTTATTTTCACCTAGCATGGTTTATCATACCATATGGTGTTTTTCTTCTAAAACAAGTGCAAAGTGGTTATAAAATTACGTAAAAAAAATCCATTAGCATCTTCACCTAAGAAAATATAAGAGAAAAGCTATATTAGATATTCTATTTCATTTTTATGCACCCTGAGTTTTCCCTTAACATTTATTTCAAAAATGATTCAGCTGATAAATACATTCACTGCTTACACCTGTGACAGATTTTGAAAATATCTTTCCCAAGGAGAAATCTATTTGATTAAATGGCCAAATAATTGAATAATCAAATAGCTCTAGCAAAAATTTGAAAATTATAACAGATACTCCAGACATAAAATTTTTGCATATAGTCAAAGTGAAAAGATGAACGTGTAATCAGCCACAATAAACTTTTAAACTTTTGGAAGCTATGGTGTAGTGGGTAATATCTCTCGGTGCTATCAGAGTTCAGCAGTTCAAATCTATCAGTTGCTGCCCAGGAAGTAGAGGAGTCATCTCCTTCTATAAAGATTTACAAGAAATGGGAAAGAGGAGGTGTGAAAAACAAAGTATACAAACTCTGTAAGTAAACCAGTATTAAATAAAAATTTTCTTTTAAAAACCCAAGATTTATAACCTCAGGAACCTAGTGTTGAGCCGCTGTGAGCCAAAACCAATAGTTTGATTCAATGGGTATTAATAATTTGTTCATTATAGAACTTCTGTCTGCCGTTTGCCATGCCCTGTCCCCATTTCACTACCTCAGCTCTTTAGTTCAACAGATGGAAATGGGTTCTGCATCTTACCTTTCCCTTGGATGACATCTTCTGTTGCATATCTAATTCCCTTATCAACTCCCTGAGACCTCAGAAGGGCTTCTATCCCTCTTGCTTTGTACTCCAAAGGAATGGAAAATTTGTCTCTATCAGTAGCTAACTATTAGATGGAATTTTATTGGTAAATTTTTAGAGACATAATCTCTAGAGTGTTATTATATAGCCATCAACTCCTCAGTTATCAGCCATCTATTTAAAACAGACTCATTGCCGTCAGTCGGAACTCATTCAAAGCTGATCTCCTAGTGGGTCTCAGAGGCTGTAAATTGCACAGGAAGCCAGTCAGTCGGAACTCACTCCGAGCTGACCTTCCAGCGGGTCTGAGGCTGTAAATCGCACAGGAGAAGACGGCCCATTTTTCTGTCGAGGAGCAGCTGGTAGATTCAAACCACCAGGGAGATGCCATCTTTGGGTGGCACGACTCCCTGTGGCCTGCCACCATACCGCCTGTAATGTCAGTGCTGTGCTGACTTCTGCCGGTTTATTTCAATGTACATGAGTCCTGGGCTGTCGCCTCTTTTCAGCTATCGTGCATAGTTCTGTTAAAGGCATTCTTGTAACTCTTTCCTGGCAGACACATGCATGCATTTCCATGGGGCATGCACTTGGGCATGGAATGGGTGGATGATAAGTAGAGTGGAGTGGATGGCCAGCCTTTGTCAGTACTTCCAGTGTTCTAGAGGATTCTACCAGCTCACACCCATCAGCAGAGGGTGGTTCGTCTCCTTAAGACTTTACATTCATTGTCTCTTGCATCCTGACATCCTGGTGGGCACCATGTGTTTTTATTTAACCTTTGTCACATAAACAGTCTCAATTTGTAAAAAGTACTTATGGCTGTCCCAGTTCCCCAGTTCTGTAGTGACAGAAATACCACGAGTAGATGGTTCGTATGAAGAGAAATTCATTTTCTCAGTTCATATGGCCTGGAGCTTCCTTTCAGAGCATCATCTGTGTAGGAAGGTCCTGATCTTAGCTCTGTAGCTGGTGGTATCAGCTGGGCAGCTCCACCCTTCACACTGATGCCCCGTGTCTCAGGGTCTGAGCTGCTCCTTCTGAAGTGGAATGATCCGGCTTAGGACCTACCCTTCACTGAAACATAACAAAGAAAACAGGTTCCCAAGCAGCAAGGAGGAGTCAGGATTCCAATACACACTTATGATTTTTAATGCAGGAACTGCGGAATGGGAGTAAAATCCAGTTAGATACACACATGCACACACGTCATCAGGCACCTTGTTACTGACTGGAGGTACATCCCATAGTTCAGGGACCAGGCATCAGACACTCCCTAACCTTGAGTGTGTCTAACATGGCAGGAACTTCACCTTGTACTTTTCATTGTGTTATACTTTTATTACAACAAATCTTAATGCTTTATACAGTTTTATGAAAAGATAACTTATATAGTAGGATTAAAAAAGCAGTACAAGACATCTGACAAATGCAGAACATCTGAAAGAGAAAAGTAAAGATCTCTTTTAAGTTTTGTTGAATGTTATATTCATCTCCTTAGCTCCAGATGCATCTAGGAGGGGGAAAATGGTTCCCATTGTTTCTATGTCTTAGTTAATTGCTTCCTTTCCACATCCTACACTGTAAAAAGATAATTAAAATCTGCATTTCCTTTGATGGTGATCTTGATGACATTTCTTCAGAAAATAGTTTGATTTCTACATGATCTAACTCAATTAATAGACTTGTTTTGTCATTGTAAGGTAACCATTTCAGACTTGACAGAGAAGAAAGTGCACCCCATTGATTATAGTCCTTTTTCCTCCCTGTGCACTGAAGGGTTTGAAAATGAATAGAAATGACAAGCCCAACACCATGTTATCCCTTCCTTCTCTAAGACCCACGCCAGCCAGGGTGCTTGGAAAATACTATACCCAGAGGAACCAGTAAACGCACGACTTCCTGCCTGGTGCAAACGATCAAGTGTTTGGCTTTTATTGGAACAGTTGATGCTTCAACTGGATCCACTGTTAAGTCAGAAAAAAGACGGGACAATCTATTGTTAAAGATCACAACCACCGAACCTGTGAAGCAGAGTTTTACTGTGTTTACTGTGAAACCCATGGAATCACCATTTGTCCAATTTTCTCAGAAAGGAGCTGAGTATTGGGCGTGTACAGGAAGCCTCGTTAAGATTCTCCTTGGTCTATCTGGTCTTTAAATTTCCAAGTAGAAGTTGTTGTTAAGTGCTAGCAGGTCAGCTCTGACACACAGTGACGCTTGTACTACTGCTCAACCCCTGCTGACCCTCATAATCCCGGCTGAGCTGAAACGATTGCTGCTGTCCTTATACTCGTCCTGCTCTTTGAGGGTCTTCTTTTTCACTGCCCCTCTACTTTTCCAAGCATCATTTTCTTCTTCCGGGATTAACGCCTTCTGCTCACCTGCCCAAAGCACGTGAGTTCAAGTCTCAACATCCTTCCTTCCAAGGAGCTCTCTGGCCACACCTCTTCAGGACAGGTCTGTTCTCTTGCCAGTCTGTGGGATATTGGATATTCTTCACCACCACAATCCGAAGGCACTGATTCTTCTCAGAAAGAAATTTTACCCCATAGCCTTAATATTTAATAGTAAGAGTTGCTACTTCACTGAAAATAGGAAATTTCTTTGGAAAGGCTAATCAGCCTCCTGTGAGTATATGGAACTCATAATACCTGAAGAATTTCTAAAGGTCGGCAAAGCATTGGAGGTTTTGTCCTGGGGATAAATTGTGAAATAACCCTGAGGAGGAAGAGAGGGAGGAAGGGGCGGAAAGTTCAACTGGATGGAAGTAAAATGTGCAAGCTTAACAGTTTCTGGATTATCATTTAATTACAGCCATCAATCACGTCCCATCTGCCTTCGTTCAGTACTCAACAAATTCAGTCCAAAGCCGTACAGTCCAGCCAACAGAGGATACGTAGCCCAGAGGGAATCCTTCAGATCAGAAGTGATATTTAAGAAATTATCCATACAAGAGCTTGGGAAATTGCCTAAAAAGACAGACTAGCAAAACTCATCTTTGGACAAATAGTAGGAAAAGTCAAGAGTAAGACTGTCCTTTTAATTAATAAGATAAACACTTAACTGCTTTTTTCCTCTGTGCCAGTTCAAAGATTTTTCACCAAGTGCTAATTTTCAAAGGGCTGTGCTTTAAAAAAGCGTTTTATTTCAATCCATATTTTTACTAATGCGTGAAACTGGCCTGCAGTTAGTAGTCATTTTATGAACATGATTTTACATTTGCTTTAAATGAGGACCATTTCAGGAAAGTTGAGCATTTAGAAAGACATTTGCTCTTTTAATTGGTGCTGTGGTGGGGGTGGGAGGAGGAAGGGCATACATGTCTTTATAGCAGCTGTTATTTTTAGGGTTTAAATATTTTAATTTCTTCTGATGGAGGGGCGCATCCTGCCTGCCCCTGTATTCTATAGCAGGGAATTAAACAGCTTTAGCTTTTTAAGCCCAGTGTGTTCAGAAGTGTCTCAAATGTGGTAATCCCTTTGTCACGCTGCACTTATCACCCCCCTCAGATCCCTCAACGCTTCCCTCCTCTTCGCAGGCAGATAATTGCAAAGGGGCTAGAACCAGAAGAAGAGATTGGAGCTGGTGGTGCTGAGCACTGGATATAAAAAGCAGTGTCACCCTAGTGGAAGTAAATAGACTGTGAGACTGTAATCTCTGCCCTTATTTATTTCTGAAACCGTCAATGCCCGTGTGAATTGGCCTGCATCTGGCTGCAGAAATGCAGCCGTGAGCTCCCCAGTGGACTTGAACTTGCTCTTACATTCCTGTGTTCGCTTGTATCCACCCCTGCCACACAGCGCACTGGTTTTTCTCTCCAAATGGGGATTTCATCCCAATATTGTGGTTGGCCACAGATATCAAAGTTCTGTGTGTTTTCAAAATAGCAGTGTGCTCATTGCATGTTTTCCCAGCAGAGTTCATCTGGCGATTTGATGATCAGAAACATCCAGCTCAAACACAGTGGAAAATATGTGTGTATGGTTCAAACCGTGGTGGACAGCGTTTCATCTGCTGCCGACCTCATCGTCAGAGGTAAGAAGCGCCACGTGGTCCTGGAGCAGTGGCCGCCAGAGAGAGATCGTGATGAGAGTGCGCGTGGGCATCGGGGGGCGGGGTGATCACAGTGTGCAGTGAGTCACGGCCTCGGGGTGCTTCCAACCAGTGGGCACAGCCATGGGGCTAGGGGCTCACTCCAAGCTGGGTGTGCCCTCTGGAGAGCTCACACTGCAACTGGCATTGCACAGCCACTGTGCCACAGTGCTACGTCTTTAAGCGTTTCATTAACTCGGTGATTGTGTTGGATAAGATAGAAAATATTGCATGTCTTTGTGTCTCCGTGTGTGTGTGTGTGTATGTTTTCACACACTTTTAAAAAAAAAAATAAGAAATACCCAGAATACCCGAGAACATTTACCATGTTGAATATGCCCACCACGGTACTAATTTGCTCGTGGGCTGAAAAAAAAATTACCAGAGAGCATCATAGAGTAAAATTTGATAAATGATCAGCTCTGGATAACAAACCAGAGTGCAGCCAAGATGAAAAGGCAAGCACTCGTGCTGACGTGAAGGCACTGAACTGGGAAACATATAGGGAGCCTGCTGGACACAGGCTTCATGGTGCAGGGGTCGGTCCAGTCCTGGGGTCGTCCCGTTTGGGGATCACAAGTGAAGACACTGATCTAGGAAACACACAGGAAGTCTGATGAACACGGGCTCCACAGCACAGGGGATGATTCAACCCTGGGGTAGTCCCACTTGGGAATCACTGCCTCACAACCAGATTGAAAATTTCCCTAGCAGGATAGTGACGGCGAGAGAAAAAAAATCTTTCTATGTATTGCCGTCTTCGTGGCCTTTCTCTAAGTACTGATGGAATTGGGACCACTGGTGGTGTCCAAGTGGTTTGTGACACGGTCTTACTTTTAGCAGAGGAGGATGATGTTTATGGTGTCTCAGGTGGTGCTGGTGGTTCCTGCCCCGAGCTTCTAACCCAGATTCTGAACGTCCCACCCCACCCTGAAGCACCTCAGAAGAAAAGCTGGGTGATCACTCTCCAAAGAACCAGACATTGAGAACCTTCTGTGCCCACTGGTACCACCTCACCCCTGTGGTCCCTGGGTCGGCCAGCAGTTGGTTTTTCACCCAGTTGGTAAAGAGGCCCCTCAGAGGTCTGACTCTTGAGCAGTTTCTTGGATAGTAGCCTCATAAAGTCTGCATCCTTCCATTTTAGGGTCACCTGGACCACCCCAAAATGTGAAGGTCGTTGAGATTACAGATACAACAGCCCAGCTCTCTTGGAAGGAAGGGACAGACAACCACAGCCCCATCCTCTCCTACTCGGTCCAGGCGAGGACTCCCTTCTCCGTGGGCTGGCAGACCGTCACCACAGGTAACAGGGGAGGCGGCCAGTGTCACCCAGATCCACAAAGTGGATGTCATAGCAGCGCTAAGATCCACTGCCTCCGACTTCCCTGACATGTTGCCTTCTAGTGCCTGCAGCCATCGACGGGAAAACGCTCACTGCCACCGTTGTGGAGTTGAACCCCTGGGTGGAGTATGAATTCCGCGTTGTCGCCAGTAACAAAATTGGAGGCGGAGAGCCAAGTTCACCCTCAGAAAAAGTAAGGACTGAAGAGGCAGGTTAGTGTTTTTGATTTCTGAGTACCAGTTAACAAGGCTCTCCGGGACCGCACTTTCCTCCACCCCCCACCCCTTGTCCTTGGTCTCCAGGCCAGCCGAGGACCTGTCTCACTAATTCGCTTCCACAATTTTCTGACCTTTCTAATGGAGGAATTAGCCATATGGCATTTGTCAAAGGCAACACATATAAGTGATTCTGATGTAGTGTGACATTTCCACAAGCTCAGACCATCGTAAGCGATCATTAGTGCATGTTGAATGAATATGTTTTTGTCACTTAAGGTTATAATTACTATCTGACACAGTTACCCTGTTAACAGGGAAGTGCTATTTTCATTTATAACAAGCATTGACAAGTAGGAGAACCGCATTTGGGAGTTCTGTTGCTGGGAATTTATCTGGTCACCACGCTCTGTCGCTACCCTTCAAAAACGGATGAATAGATATGTTCTGGCCCTTCAAGTGTTAAATTAAGAAGGAATCATTATTAAACACGCCCATGTAATCATTAATATAACCCATAAAACTACTCTTATGATGACAAAAAGAAATATCCTAAGATAAACAGTCAGCATTAGAACATGTGCATCGCCTCCCATGATTGAAACATCTGGGGAGACCTAGGACTTTTCCAGTTCAAAATCTGTAAGATTAATTAGCATTAACTAGAAGGATGTCGGAAATAAAGCTAGTCTGTCACTTTATAAACAGAGCCAATGTAAGAGGAGTGGAATGTAGTTGAGTCATTTTAAGGTGCTATTGTCCCCAGGCTTGTGCTACAGGTATTAGGAGAAATGGGGGGGGACTGTAGGGAGCTCTGCTGGAGTAGCTTGTGAAGAGTTGGGCTGCTAGCCCAAAGGCAGAACCTCTGTGGTGGTTCAAATTCACCAGCAGGTCCACGAAAGAAAGACGCATCATCTCTACCTGTGCAGTTGACAGCCTCTGAAAACCCCCAAAGAGTCAGCTGGGACTCAGTCCTGACCGAATAGCAAGGACTCTTTGAGTCTGAACGGACCCACATTTGCCAGGGTGTTCTGTTCCTGTGTTCGTACAGCACATATCCACAGTGTCTGCTGTATGCTAAGCATTTACTTGATGTTACGGATCCAGTTGAGAACACGGCCAACAATGAAAGATGGTCTTTGTGAAACGTACATTCTAGATGTGTCATGGGGATTACTAAGCATAAAATTGCCGTTTAAGTAAGAAATATGATGTCCATGTGAAGGTAATAAAGAATACCTCCTAACATGATTTCAGTCCCGTCACTCTTATATGAAAGCCAGTGCTGTTTTGACAATTGTATTTCATCTGGAATGATCACAGGTGAAATGTTCATATTGGATTGCTTTCCCAACATCCCTACCAGGTCACCTTTTCCTGTTTATTGACTTTCATACTCATCAATATATATCTTCTAAATGATTTGTGTTCCCTTACTGTTTGAGATCTTTGTAATCTTCTTTATAATTTCAGGTTAATGATAATTATTTGATGATCGCCTCAAAGACATAGGACACACACACACAGGGAGCCGATGTTAAAAGTCAGCAAGTTGTTCTTTGTCCCCATGGTTGTTGCTGTTGGGTGCCACCCAGGGTCTCCCTGTAAACAGAAGGCAGTATTGCAGGGCGCCGCCTCACCAACCTCACTGCCCTTCGGTGATTGAGCCGTTGGTGCAGCCTGTGTTTGTCCAGCTTGTTGAGGGTCTTCATCATTTGGCTGACCCTCCACCAAGCACGATGCCTTTCTCCAGGGACGGCACCTCCTGAGAAACCTGCCCAAAGTGCATGAGATGAAGTTTGCCAACCTTGGTTCTCAGGAGCCATCTCTCAGTCATCGAGCAGTCCATGTGATACTTCTTTGATCTTCCTAATTCATTGTCCTGCTATAGACGGTGTTTGAAAATTCCATGATGTGAATCAGGCATACATTCACCCTTGCTTTTTAACCCTAAAGAATCTTCCCCAGCATTTTGTCCTAATACAATATGCTGTTTGATTTCTTGACTGCAACTTTTGTAGATGTTGATTGTAGATCCAAGTAAAAGAAGTCCTTGAGAGCGGAAAACTTTATCTGCTTTATCCACTGTTTATTGATCCCATTGTAAGGCTCTTTGTTTTCTTTCTGTTAGAGTATATTCTATACTGAGGGATTTTCATCAGTAAGTGCTTCAGATCTGCTTCCTTGAAGCAAACAAGGTTGTGTCATCTGCATAATACACATTGTTAATGAGTTTTGTTCCAGTCTTCATGCTGTGTTTTTCATATAGCCCAACCCCAAGGATTATTTGCTCAGATTATGGATTGAATATATACAGTGAAAAGATGCAGTTCTGAAGCACAGTTTTGCTGATTTTAAACCACAGGAACTGATGTACTGAGGGTGGGTGTGTTAGATTCAGTGAGACTGGCTGAGGACAGGGCAGGGGTCAGAGCTATTGTACATGGATGGCTCTGAGTCGCAGGTGACTCAGTGGCACACAACAACTGCACCTCCTAGTTCTTTTTGAATGACCACCACTTAGATAACTACAGCTAATCAGTTTCCTAGTACTCGATGCAAATACGGTCTCAGCTCTGTCTCTCTGACCCATACAGTTCCAGAAGTGCCTCCTTCAGAAGTCAGTGGAGGGGGTGGAAGCCGCTCTGAGCTCGTGATAACCTGGGATGTAAGTGCCGGGCCACCGTCTCCCCTCCCAGGGTCAACATGCCTCCCGGGTGGTCCTGAGGTGGTGGTTGGAAAAGGAGCTCATGTTTTTCACATTCCGCATGCGCTCAGCGCCATGACTAGCATTTCACTTGCATTTATCTAATTTCATCCTCAGAACACTTTCTAGGTGAAGCGTGAGGCCATAGAAATGTTAAGTGTCTTGACCAGGGTCACAGGGCTGCTCTATCCAGGAATGAGCAAGTGCAGACCCTGATTCTGAATCCGACTTTATAGCTTCCCACACAGCTCATACCTTCCTTTCCATCATGTGTTTGAGCTTCTTTCTTTCTGGGTCATTCTCTCAGGCCTTGCTAATTATGTTGTAATTAGGCTGAATTTTAATTAATATATTTAGAGGCAGAAAGTTGCCTGCATAATTTGAAGACACTGATGAAAAAAAAAACATTTGGATCCACCTTTGAGTTTAGTAAGTTGTTTTGCCTGTGTGGTTTTTTAAAAAAAAGTTTAACTTCCTTATATTCAGTCATCTTGATATTAGTGTGTGATTTCCATAAAGTCATCGTTAGCGATTGGATTGATTGTATTTGGCATACGAGATAGGTATATTTAGCTGAAAGTATATTTTATTATTAGGAACTCTGGCTAGGATTTCAATATGCTTAGATGCATGAATAATCACAGAGAGTGCTAGTTAATTATCTAGATGACTGTGAAACAGTAGATTATCTTTGCTTAAATGCAGCTGAATCTTCCAAGGATGTCTTTGTTCTTTTTTATTCTACTTCTTAGTGCAATGCATACTGTTCTTTGATAACGTTAGCAAAGACTAAGGATTATAGCTCCATGCACCTTTGCTTCGTCCTCCTACGTACCGACGATCTGACATGTCTTTCCTTTACAGCCAGTCCCTGAAGAACTGCAGAATGGAGAGGGGTTTGGGTATGTGGTTGCTTTCCGCCCCTACGGGGTGACCAACTGGATCCAGACTGTGGTGACGTCTCCTGACACCTCAAGATACGTGTTTAGGAATGAAAGCATAGTGCCGTTTTCACGCTATGAAGTGAAAGTGGGTGTCTACAACAACAAAGGCGAAGGGCCCTTCAGCCCGGTGACGGCAGTGTTCTCTGCAGAAGAAGGTATGGAAAACATGGAGTTCATGTCACTTCTGCCCTTGTAAACCAGTCGTGTTCCAAAGTGGGTTGGAAGTTCTTCATGATTTCTTAGGTGCTTCTTCAAAAGAACAGTGGTAGAAGTTATAATTATATTCTAAGCCTTGACCATAAAGATTAACAAATTTGCCTTTTCAAAAGAGGTGTAGGTACCAGGGAGCTCTGATGGCCTAGTGGTAAGAAACTGCCTTGCAATCCTGAAGGCATACGGTTCGAATCCACCAGCTAGCTGCTGCACAGGAAAAGGATGTGCAGTCTCCTCATGTGTGATTAACTGCCTCTGAAAACGTGCTAGGTAGAGGGTCAGCTATGCATCAGTTCCAACTTGATGGTGGTGGTTGTTATGTGCCATCGAGTCGCTTGCAACTCATAGCGACCCTGTGTACAACAGCCTTAAACCCTGCTCTGTCCTGTGCCAATCACACTGTCTCCAACACACCCACCCTGATTACCTCAGTCACTGAATCAATCCACCTTATAGAGGGTCTCCCTCTTCTGCGCCTGCGCTCCACCTTCCCAAGCATGATGTCCCTCTCCAAGGACTGGTCCCTCCTTGTAACACGTCCAAAGTATGTCAGACGAAGCCTCAGAATCCTTGCCTCCAAGGAGCCGCCCAGTTTAACCCTCTCCAGGACATGGTACATTCGATACTCTACTCCAGCACCACAGCGCAAAGGCATTAGTTGGTACTCAACAATATTTTACACACAAGAAAATAGGAGATTGGTGAAAGAGTTTCTTTGTCCACAGTCTGTGCAGCAAGTACTAGAGCTGATATTTAAACCCAGAGACTTTATCCATAATCACAACCAAGCTCATGAAATTATTTCCGTTTCTCTCCTCCCTTCATACCTTACAATAAACGGCAAAAGGGCCTTGATGTTGTCTGCAATTTTCACTAGAAAAACCAACAATAATCCTTAACAGTTCCTCCTCCCTCTGACCTGCGTCTGTCAGTTCTGAGAGGGAAACAACCAACTACCGTAATCACCTGTGCAGAAGAGCCTTTGCTCGCTCTCAGCACATCCTCTCGCCCCCAGTTGCTGAGGATGTCTCTTACAAGAGCAGGTCAGAGATCCGGAGAATGTGGGGTGCTGCTGGACCCCTGCTCCCAGGACCAGCAGGCCTGGCAGTTCCAGTGACAGCCAGGGTCTCTCCTCTCGTTTCCTTCACTCTCACGTTCTCATCACCATTGTTTCCCTGTTAAAGATACTTCTGTCTTAAAGCCAAATCCAGATTCTGCTTTCCTAGAAAACCCCAAAAACCCACCGAGTGATGTAAGTCAGAAGACAAGTTAGAAAGTAAACCTCATGAACAGTCTTATTCAGAGAAACACTATGACCTCAGAAACTGGTTTTCTGTCTTCCTCATTAGAAAACCAGTACTGATGTGATTGGCTCCCGATCTCCAAATCTCCAAGTGTCTCCAAACCAAGTTTCTCAGGAGAGAAAATCTAATAGGCTCATCCTCAGGCCAGGAATCTGTCTCCGTTTTAATCAGCTGTGGCTGGGGGCAGAATCGTCAAACAAAGAAATGAATATTGGAGGGAGGCGGAGCTGCATCACACGCTCTCCCTGGAGAAGAGAGAATCACTGTGAAGCAAGAAAGCCCTAATGGTTGTCCATTTCAAAGGGAATCTTCTTACTGCATAATTCTTTACAAGCATGTCTAGTCACCCATTCAAAAGGACAGGCCCCACCTCTGACCCTGGCTTAGGGAAGGCATTCACAAAATTCTTACTGAATTCATTACATTCTGTAGACTTTGACTTTGGCAAAGAAGAGCCTGTGGGTCTAGATGACCAAGCAGTTACAGTGAGATAGAAGGGAGAGAACTGAAGGTGGAAAAGCGAGAGCAATGGAAAAGACGACCCTAAAGCGGAAACCAGGAGGCAAAGTGCAGGTTTTCTTGCTCATGATTGGAGCGTGGAATGTGAGAAGCGTGAATGCAGGAAAATTGTCTCATATACTTTGGGCATGTGGCCAGGAGAGACCAGTCCTTAGAGAAGGACATCATGCTTGGAAGGTGGAGAGGAAGACCCCGCGTGAGATGGCTTGATACACTGACACAGTGACTGGGGAAATGGGGACAGGTATGATGGAGGTGGTGAGACTGCCTCAGGGTAGGGTAGGGTTCAAAGCTCCTGCTCCTGGGGTTAATGTGATTCACAGACGACTTGATGGCACATAACAACGAGAGCATTTAACTAGGATGAGTCTGTGGCCATGATGCCCTCTTCCCTTGAGAACTAGAGTCATGTCTTTATTTCTGAGAACTGTTGTTGTCTGGTGCCATCCGGTTGACAAGACATAGACAGCCCAGGGGTGCTATCTGGACAATCTGCTTGATCTCTGCTCTGCTCCACCCCGATTTACATTCACTTTGTCACTGGGGCTTCCATAACAAAGTATCAGGGAATGCTTGATCTTAAAGAACTAAAATATGCTCCTTTAAAGTTCTGAAGCCTGAAGCTCAAACTTCTGGCTGTTAAGGCTCCTTGGTTGCTTTCTTCCCATCCACAAGGAAGGCCACCCCTGGTCTCTTCCAGCTTCTAGGAGCCCTGGCCCTTTTGGGCATGTAGAAAGACCCCACATTCCTCCTGTGCAGGCCCTTCCTGGGTCTCTTCTACTTTTGAGTAAGACACCCCCTCAGTGGGGTTAGGATTAGAACCCATCCTATTTAACATGCCTTGATGGATATTTTTAAAAATATATTTAGGGAAAAAAATAAGATCATATTCACAAGTCCAGAGGTCAGGGCTTCCACTTCTCCCTGTAGGGACTGTCATTCAGTCTATAACAACAAGACTCATGCTTTCCAGTGTTAATAATGTATCTTTTCCTCCAGCAGTTCCATCATGTTCAAGGATTTTTAAAATTAGAATTTTCATAGATTTCAAAATTAACTACCTATGTTATAATTGCATTTTAATTTGTGTTTTCAAATAGAGCCTACAGTAGCACCATCTCAGGTTTCTGCAAACAGTGTGTCTTCTTCGGAGATTGAAGTTTCATGGGATGCAATTCCTTGGAAGCTGAGTAACGGGCATTTGCTTGGCTATGAGGTAATGCTCTCTAGAATGAATTGATTTTTTTGTATATGTGTGTTACCAAGCTACTTTGTCTTCTTTACTTAACCTTCTTTTTAAGGATGTCTTGGGATGGGTCAACTTTTATCCTTAACATAAAAAAATGAGCCTGTGAAAACCCCGTGGATCCCCGGAGGCTGATGGAACTGGGTCCAGCAGTGACTCCTTCTTGTGCCCGGTGCCACTGGAGTCAGGGCAGATAGCAACAACAACAGTCCCTCAGGAAACACTCTTATGCACACTTAAAACTGGAAATCATCAGGTTCGATAAGAAAGACTTAAACCATCCATATTGAAGGAGAAACAGGAATGAACAACAACAAAAAACCCATAAAAATACAGCAGAGGAAATTGCTAATAATTAAAAAAAAACACACAAGAACCTTTGGATAGGAAATTCATCTCATTCCATGGCAGCGTGCACAGGGAATGGAAAATGGTAAGATGCCAATAGCAGCTCCCTAAGCGTTTAAGAACTGGACCGTGCTGTGGCAGACCCCAGAAAGGAAGGAGGGCACAAGAGCAACGCTAAAACCTGCACCAAACCTGGTTCTGCCATCTCTTAAACTGCTTTTCAGAAGATTATAAAAGTTTAGTGAGGGAGCTCTGGTGGCCTAGCAGCAAGATGCTGCACTGCAATCCCAGAGGTACACGGTTTGGATCCACCAGATGCTCTCCTGGAGAAGGAAGGGTAGTCTCCTCCTATACCAGTCAGATCCAATTTGACGGTACACACACAAAATAATAAAACTTAAAAAAAAAGTTCAGTGAGCCTTTATTTTTATCACCTGTGAAATGGAAACAATGATAGGACTGAGTCATTAGGATTTTGGATAACCTTCAGCAGGAACAGAAATGAATATGAATCTCTTCCAGTCACGTGGCCAGGGAGTGGACTTCTAAATTTTCTCTCAGAGACTGGTGAGTATGTCCAGGGCTGCATGCCTAGAATAATACTGTTGATGTCAGATGGATACTGGTTGAAAGCAGAGAGTACCAAAAGGATGTCTATTTGTGTTTCATTGAGTATACAAAGACATTTAACTGAACAGATCATAACACATTATGTCTAACATTGAGAAGAATGAGATTCCCAATACACTTAATTGTGCTCATGTGAAACTTGTAGCTAGACCAAGAGACTGTTGTACAAACAGAGCAAGGGAACACTGCGTGGTTTTAAAATCAAGAACAGTGTGCCTCAGTGTTGTATTCTTTCTCCATACATATTCAGTCTGTACACTGAGAAAATCATTCAAGAGGCTGGACTTTATGAAGAAGAATGTGGCATCGGGATCAAAGAAAGACTGATCAACAACTTACGTTATGTAGGTGACACAACCTTGCGGAAAGTGAGGAAGACTTGAAATGCTTGCTGAGATCAAAGACTACACTGATGAATTAATTATCTCTTAACATGAAGAAAACAAAAGTCCTAACCATGGGGCCCATAGGCAGCAGCCTGACAGACGGAAAAAGGTTGACGTTGTCAAGGATTCCATGTAGCTTGGCTCCACAGATTACACCGTCGGTACCAGCAGTCAAGAAATCAAAAGACATTTCGCATTAGGTTAATCTACAAGCAAGGACTTCTCCAAGGTGTTAAGGAATAATGATACCATTTTAAAGATCAAGGTACACCTGATTCAAGCCATGGTGTTTTCAGTTACGTGCTATACATCTGAAAGGTGCACAGTGAATAAGGATGACAGGAAAAGAATTGCCTTTGAGTTGTGGTGGTCGAGAAGAGTACTGAATATCCCCCGGATTGCCTTCAAGAAGGTGCAGCTAGGTGATCCTTGGAGGCCCAAATGAGAAAGCTGTGTTTCATATATTTGGGGCATGTTGGTAAGAGGACCTGGTCCTTGGAAAAAGAACTCACTCTTGGAAAGGTGGGGGGTCAGCAGGATAAAGGCAGGCCTCCAGTGAGATCGGCTACCACAGTGACGGTAACAGTGGACTCAAGTACATCTAAGATAATGAGGGTGGTATGGACTAGGGCAAGGGCCAGAGTTCAGAGGGTCGCTAGGAATTGTGTGGTCAGCTCAGGGGCACTTCACAACAGTATTAGGATTTTAAGAAAATTGCGAGAGCTTAGATATCTAACGTGGCTAACAGTTCCAAGCTCTTAGTAACAATCAGGAAGTCAAGGCTGACTCAAGGCTTCAGGGACTCTTGGAGATATCCATGTATGTTATGTTTCTCCAGTAAATATTCCAAAAATTATTCTAAAGCAGCGATTTTTGCTTCAAGGGAGTTTGGAGAAAGTTCTTAAGAGAAGTTACCTGCCGGGAAGATCCCCCTCTGAGCTTTGCTTCCAGAGCTCATGCCCTAAGGAGACTGTCCCTCGTAGCCTGAAGGGAGAAAGAAGACACTGCAGGGGAAACAGAAAAGCTAACAAGAGATTTCCCCAGAGACACAAAGACTCCTGATGACTTTAAAGGACATCAAAGTGTGAGGCTGCTGGGATGGTACCCAGGGAATGAAAGGACCACGGTGGAGTGGCCTTGTGTCCCAATCCCCAGCCCCGGCCCAGATCTGCTGCCGCTACAGGAACCACATAGAATGCAGCAGTCAGTTATTTTAGCAAGGCATCGGAGGAGAGCCCTGGGGATGACTGGGGTTGAATTTTTCATTAACGGAGCCAGATGGGAGAGTCGGGGCTAAATCAAATGTATTTAAAGAAAAGCAAGGACCATGCAGTTTTGCACTCCTCGGTGGGTGTGCTGGGATGCACAGTAGCTATTAACGGCTTTTCCCTTTAAGAACGGTATGACTGGAATATCGTCTGTGGCCTGGCTGTGCTTCGTGAAATGGTTAAGAGGTTAATGAGGGAAACTTCATAAATGGGCTCTGTGGGCTGTCCAGTACCTTGGGAGTCACTGATGATTTCTTCTATCTTTGGGGCAAGTAAATGTTCATTTTTCATCATATGTATTTAAATAGACATGGGGTCACCTAGATAAAAATAAGCCATAAGGAAGTAAGTAGATTGACACCACTGTTGGTCGTATCTGGAAAGAGGTTCAAAGAAGTGAAGATTAAAGAGTACCAGACCCAGTTAGCATAGTGTCTGGTCAAGGCCATGCTGTTAGACGTCAACAGGACTGGGCTCAAACCCCCTCAATTAAAACAGATCTCCACAAGAGACAGGGCTCACTTCCTCTCTGTGGAGTACGGCATCAAAGTAGGTGTGGGGTGGGCATGTGTTGCCGTGGCGTCCCTCTCTACTGCAGTGTGGCCTTGGGTGTGTTACTGAACCTTCCCAAGGCTCGAGGCTCAGCTGGAATAGAGATAATGATAGGAAATAATTCCTCATTTGAGATGAGGTTATTTATTATCTGATAATTAAATGAGATAAAGCAGCCATTTTCAAAATTATTCACAGAGACGTGGAAATTTCCCCCCCCCCCTAAATATATTGGACATTGGGATGAAATTTCATAGGAAGGAAAAAATTTGGGGAGTCCCGGTGCTGGCATGTTGCTAAGTGGTTTCTGCTTCTGTTGCTGCTCCTTTGACCTTTCGTTAAGATGGGTAATGAAGACGCGAGGACGGTAGGGAGTGGGGGCTTTCCTGCCGTTGATTACAGGCTGGGGGTCAGTGATTCTTGACTGTCTTTGTGAAGAGAAGCAGATAGAACTTCCAAATGTGGCAAGAGCATAATATTTGAAAAAAGCAAACCTAAGTAGTGGGAAATGCTCATGAAAATGCACATTGCACATAAGTGTTATGGATCGAGTTGTTTCTCTCAAACAGGTAGGTTAAACGCTGACTCCTGGTGCTTGTGACCTTGAATGTGTTTGGGGAAAAGGCTCTTTTAACAGATGTCATCAGTTAAATCAGCAAGCGGTTATACCTGTGTAGATGGGTCTTTATCCAGTGTGAGTGGTATCCTAGAAGGGAGACAGAGGGAAGATGGCCATGCAGAGGCAAAGGTGGCAGATGGGGTGACGTGTGCACGAGCCAGGAAGCACCAGATTGCCCGAAACTAGGAAGAGTCCAGGAAAAAACCGAGAGCCTTCAGAGAAGATGGGGCTGCAGACACTTTGGATGGAGACCTGTAGCCTCCAGAACCACCAGAGAATAAATATGTTCCAACTGTTAAGCCATCATGCTTTGTGGTACTTTGTCAAAATAGCCCTAGGATAACAGCAGTATTTACAGTAAGAGAATCAAGCGAGCTGACAGAAAGATGCAATCATTGGGGAGATCTCAAATGATTTGTCTAATTCTACCAAGATAAAAATATGTCATAGCTTCGTTTCCGTTACAATTTAAAGCTTAAACTGAGGAAGAAAAATAGGCTAGCAGAGCACCTAATTACTGGTCATGTGGCTAACTTTCTGGGTAGCTGTTTCCCCAGGATGGCTTTAAAATGTTGAATAGCTCCCGCTTCACCGTCATCTCAGTAAGGACTGATCGCGTGCCATGTGGCGTGCTGAGTACACATTATTAGCATCGAGACTAATTTTCTTTCAGATTTGATTGAGCAGAAGTGGAGACGCTCATTTCCCTGGGCTCCAAGCTAATTTACATGCTAAGCTGTTGCACTCAGGCTCTTGTGAACCTTGGCTAGAAGCAAGAGATGAACGGATGAGTGAGAGGAGGAGAAACCCCTTAAGTTCATGCGTGGTAGGGGGCTGTGGAAGTTCTAGTGTGGCATGCTGCGGTTGGCTGCTACTGAGCTGGCCCCTGGCTCACCACAGCCCTGTACGCAAGGAAACAGAATGGTGCCCGCCCTTTGCATCAGGTATGGGTTGAAGTTTTATAACCCGTAGAGTTCTCTGTGGCCTTGTGTTTGGAAGTAGACTGTCCTTATTTTCTGATCTTAGTTTGAAACTGGAACCTGTTGGGTATTCTAACGAGACAGAAGCCAGCTAACAGATGAGTGCAGGCTGTGCATAGTCTTCTGGAGAAAAGGCAAGAGCTGTGATGAGGAACCACCGGTGTCCAAGCAAAGGACAGTCAGTCTC